CGCTTTCAGGGACAGTGGTCATTACAGTGGACAGTTGATCATGTTATCAGGTTACAGAGTGCATGAAAGGGTTGAAGGAGGCAAAACTACACATTTTGTCATTTATAGTATGTTTGACCTTTATGACCTGATAGAATATTTTTCAAATGTTTCTTGGGAAAATCACCCATCGTGCACCGCTAATATAATTAGCAATTAATATTTCTTACGTTAAAACTATTTGCGAATGTGTGGCGAGCATCTTTGCAACTTTAAATGAATGAATGAAGACATTCTTTGTGTGATATTAAATTGGTTTGAGGGACTGAAATATTGGTAAGTGATAAATATGCAAACAACTCAGTAATCAGGAAGGGGGGAAATACTATTCCACAGAACTGTAGTTGATTGGATGTTCCAAAAATACAACATTAAACCGATAACATTTCATTTTTGGCAATACTTTATCGTGAAGAAGTCATGCTAGCAGCGTAACTATCTCGGCATGGCGCCATTTAACGCGCTTTAATGAGCTGGGGGCGTTTCTTTCGGCCAGAGATGTGAGGGGTTGTAGTGAGGCTACCTTAAAATGTTGCTAGCAGTTTCAAGTCGCCATACTCCAACCTTAGCTGACTCAATTTAACCATCAAAACAATTTTCCTCATTGAAATGAATTGAAATGGCGCTAATTCGTTTCGACCAAGAAAAAAAAAAAATTATCTATTTTTTTGCTACATGTTTTTAATAAAGTAAAAAATAGCAGTGTGTTGTAAAAATATTGGTTTATAAAGAGTAATTACAAGGAACATCTCACAGCTCATGTTTTGGATCTGAGGGGGACGTCATAACACACGGTAAACGATCACAGTTACGAATGCTTGCTTTGTCGATTTTTCTCCTCATCCACAAATGCATCTTCGACCTCATCTCTTCTGTTTTGACTTCCTGTGCGGTGCCCACTTTTTGTGTTGCACCCTCTGCATCCCTCGCCACTTGTGCCCTCCCTCCCCACAGGTCTCCGCAGCAAAGTGTTCTCGTGAAAGGAGCTCTTTGATAGGAAGCGGCCAGGAGCGACACAAGGGAAGCAATCAGAGTGTGGATGACTGTGCTCGCTTGTGATGTTGTTTTGCTTCTTTGACCCGCAAAATTCTCTCTCTGGAAAAAAAAAGAAAAGAAGAATCCTTGAAGACTCTTCCACAGGTTTTGTGCGTTTTTGTCCCCCGTGCACCTTCTGAAACGCATTTGTTCCGCCTTTGCCTGCCTCCTTTGTAACCACAAAGAACAACAGCACGCTGGGCTTTGAAAGTCTTCTGGATGACTGACGTAGTGATTTCCTGCTTTTTTTTTTTTTTTTGGTTTTGTTTTTATTTTTTTTTCTTCCTCTCATGCGTTCTCGTTGCTTGATTTTTCATCACGGTCTGATTGACTGCAGTGTCTTCATGGCGCACAAAGAAAAAAAAAAAATGGACTGTTTTTTTTTTCATTTCAGCCTTCCTTTTAGATCAAGTACAATGTTGCTGTACACACGGGAGGACAACGTTTTGAAACATTTGGGATTTATTTGCTCTGCCCTCAACTTTGTAAATGGTCCACTTTACATCACAAATAGATGTCAGCATTTTTCAGTGAATCTTTAGCATTATTTGGCGTATAATCTTCAGCATATTTTGGCTTTTTTAACCGATATGCCGTTCATTTTTTATTTTTTTTAAATTTCAGCAAGAACCTTGACACTATGCAATTGGTGCTTGGCAACAGTAGCTATTTGTGACTCCCATCAGCATTTTTTTTTTGGAGGGGTGGGGGGGCTGTGTTAAGATCATCATATGAACAGTCATTGAAGGGAAAGAGCAAAAAGAATCGTGTCTGGCATAATTATCACACAGCCAGATTTTTGCAGCCTTTTTTCAACCCACACTGTTGCCACCGAGCAGTCGGTGTCAAAATGACAGTGGCATGGCGGGGAAATATTCCTAAAACGCCAGCGGTGCTCAACGAACGGGCCAAGACTGGAACTTGTCATTGCGTCACAATTGCCAGGTGCTGCTGTGAGCTACGAACCCCCCAAAAATAAATAAAATCTTCTAAAATGTATTTCTATGAAATAAATGATGATGCTAAACTTTGCCTTGGTCTTCCTCTGCCTTGTCTTTGTGCTCCTCTTCTTCCTGCTCATCTTTGTGTTTGTCCTCTTCCCTCCCAGGCATCCCTTTGCTTGTGAGATTGCAGTTTGGGGCGCAGCCGATGTGACTGGCAAGTCCAGGCAGAAGGTAGCTGGAGCAAACAGACGCCCCCCCCACCGCAGCCCACCCCCTCCTTGAACAAACCATAAAACCAATTTAAGGCCTGTGTGCTTCCTCATGTAGGTAAACTCTTGTTATGAGGACTAAAACAAAAAGATAAATATGCATTGCAGGCACACCTGCCGTGTGAGGGGTATTTGGAAGAGGGCGATGGGGTGCGTTATTTGCTCACTAATAAATTAGACGCGGACCGCCGGCGCGTGCACCACTTTGAAAGTTTGGTCACGACGAAGAGAACGAGTCGTACGAAAACAACTTCATCCGCGGATCCGTCTCAAGCTGTCGTAACGGTTCAGTCCAGCAATCCGGCGCCAGCCAGGAAAAGTCCATTGTGATATTTCGGGAGGAAAAGACAAGAAGAGCGCGTATGTTTGTCCAATTTGTGACCGCACGGAAGCCGAGGCCAGAAAATGTAAAAATGCGCTGACGTCAGCGTTAGAAATGCCAATTGTGATGCACAAAGCCTTGGAAAACGCCCCTTGAATCGATTAATTAATCAATGAAAGCTTGGACTCAACTCCTTGTCCAGTTTGAATAATTGTATGCTTCCAACTTTGTCAGAAGAGTTGGCAGAAGGGCCTTTTTCACTTCCCAGTGCACAAAAGCCAGTTCCATAAACACATTGGATGAGTTTGAGGAGGAAGAACGTGCCCATGAAACCACCATTGGCTTGAATTCGAACCAGAAAATAGTCCTGTTTTCTCCTACCGGAGCGAGAAAATTAAAATTGAAACCGATCTGTTTAGTATAACACTTGGAATAAGCTACATTTGTACCAGTCGAAAAATTGAGTGTCGTGTTGTGATACGAGCGACCCGGTAGCAGTTTGGCACAGTGAGCAAAGCTTCAAAACAGATGCCTGGAGCTGTTTACTACCACTGACGTTTACCGTCAAACTAAACATAACACACAGCGAATTACACGACGCGTACTCAAAACAACCACATGACTTTGCAGAAATCCGCAAGCTCAATGCTAACGTGTCATGGGAAATGCCAGATTACTTGCAGTAATTTACCCTCTTCGGTTTGTCTACCCGACTGTATTATGATGCCGCAAAATTAAATCGCAAATCGTATCACTCCAATGTAGCTCCGGTGGGTCTTTGATCGGGATCAGATCGCACGGATTTTATGATCGAGAATCATAGCGCTTTGTTTGAAACCGAGCTAGCGAATCTGTTTTTAGCATGTTGCTATTGTGCATTTGTCTAATTCCCCACAGCGTCGACATGTAAACACAACACAAGTGAGCGCATCTGCAAATCTTTGTACTTTGCTACTCTCCCACTTCACCGTTCGTCACTCCCGGGGGGATGAAAATGTCATCAAAATGATGTTACTGCTGCATATGGATTTTTTTTTTACCCCTGACCAGCAGCCTTAATTTGATATAAACCTGAAAATCTATACCATAGACGCCAATAAGAGGAGGTGTCAGCCCGTTCAGGCGAAGGGATAACTTCAGCACAACATCAGTCGGCGATCCCAAAAGAGCTACCCTTAAAAAAAAAAAAAAGCTATGTATGATGGGAAGTTTATTACCTTCAACGCGGAATTATTCTCTCTCTCTCTTGCTCTTTCAAACCCTCGGCTTCTTTGTCTCGCTCCTCAGCGTGGAATTCTTTAAAAAGACAGAGTACGGACACCCAGTGTATATCATCTTTTTGACATCCCGTTGACATTTATCAAAAAGTGACGCATTTGAATCGAACGCTGTCATTCGGCCAGTCCCTGACCCCTAAACTCCCAAGTTCCAATCCCAACATCCTTCTCGACTCATCCTCAATGGGCGAAACCCCAACATGTTAGTTTGCTCTCCACTTCTGACGCCGCTTCACATTCAACGACGACGACAAGCCGCGTGTGTGGGGCCCTTTGTAGCTGCCTGCAGCTTGAGTTATTATTATTATTATTATTTGCCAAGTGCAAATGCGCATGCATACGAGTGCATGCATCCCTCGAAATTCTCCTCATGTGGCGCTGTCTTTATTTTTAGAGGCTGGGAGGAGGGTTGGGGGGGGTCTGATGAGATGATAAAGCAACAAAAGTGAGAAACGGCAATTAAAAAAAAAAAAAAAAGAGCAAGGGCGAGCGAGGTGAGACTTGAACAAGGAAGAAGGGGGAAGTGAGTGATGAGAAACAGAGGAAGGGGGGAGGAGAGGATGGAGCCATTCTTGTCTCTCACTCGGTGGGGGAGCGGAGGGGAGGGCTGGGGAGGGTCCCCACCGCTCGCGCCTTATAAGAATCGGGCTCCAAAAACTCACCACACAAACACACACACACACACACACACACACATACATCTGGCGGTCGCAACACTCTCTCTCTCTCTCTCCCTTCTTCCCTCCCTCCATCCCTGCGGACTCCCTCTCGCATCCTTCTGTCTTGCGCTCACAAGTCAGAGAGTGTTTGGGAAGTGCGCGCCGACTGTCTGGCTCAGTGCGCGCCGGCTCCCTCAAAGTGGTTTGTGCGTGCGCCGCCACGGACTGAGCGCAGCCGGGAGCTCCGTCCAAGTGTATGTGGGTCTCTGCCTCGCGCGCCCGCCGCTCCACCCATCGCGAGCCTCCTCAGGATCCGCGGGTCCTCTTCCTCGGCGACAGGCTCCCCACACCCAACGGTCACCATTTCCGCCCCCGGGAGACCCACGCTGGCCGCTCAGCCCCTTCCCCGACTCAGCATCGGGAGGAAGACCCTGGTGGCGGCCGCCGTGGGGGTTATGCTGGTCCTGGTCCTGGTGGTGCTCATCCCCGTGCTCGTCAGCTCCGTGGGTACGGACCCCAGCCACTATGAGATGCTGGGCACCTGTCGGATGGTGTGCGACCCCTACCTGAACAAGGGAACCCCCAGTAGCAGCACCAGCTCGACGGGCTTGCAAGCGGAGGCGGAGGCGCTGAGCGACCACGGCAACGTCCTGCCACCCTCCACGCTCCTGCAGGGCCCGCAGGGGAAGCCCGGCAGGCCGGGAAAGCCGGGGCCGCCGGGCC